TTTTCCGTTGAAAAATGTCACTAGTACTGTAATCCACTTAGAAGAATTCCTTGGTGAAGTTCAGTGGTCCTCGGAACATTTAAATCTCAGTTGGGCTTTTGTTCTGTCCATCGTTTTCAAATGTTCTTCTTTATTATTTGTTTTTCATCAAGAATGATGTCTGGTAGATGAAAAGAGTATATTTTTGATAAATTATTCAAAAAATCGTCACATCTTTTTTTTAAATGCGACCCGTCTAAGTGCACTGTTGATAGTCTCTTTTACAGTCGTTTATTTAGTTCTAATTATAAATCTTTACCTATCTTTAGAGATTATTTAATTTGTTTTTAAAATAGTTTCCTTAGCATCACAACTGCTTATATGTATTACATATATATTAGTGTCATATTTAGCCTCGGGGGCGGCCCCAGCCGTAGGCAGCAGGAGGCCGGATCGATCAAATTGATTGACAAAGATTTCACAATAACGTTCAAACTGACACACACTGTAAATACAGTACGTTGTGTTTGACCTCACGTCTTCTTCTGGGGGTCACCTCGGGTTCGTAAACTATTGAGGTCAGACTTAAGTCTTGTGCAGAGATATTTGACTCTTGAAATGGCAGTGGATATAACAAGATTTAAATGGTGCAACGTTACTTTTTTTTGGCTAAAACCATGCGACGTGTGACACCGCTATGACTAAACTGCAAATCTTTGAAGGACTGATTCGTAGAGAACACCTATTTCTGCATGTGTGTGTGTGTCACTGAATAACATTTGCACCTGAATTTCGAGGGCAAAATAACAGCCATAGTATCGTGTTTATGCTTTATAGTGTTTTTATCCAGTGTTTCACAATTAGCCAAACAGCTGATCAAAATCCAGGCATCCATCAACTGTTGTCAGTCTGGTACTGTTTAGTTGCTGTTTAAAAGAACTTTGTTTGAAACCCGTGCATACACCAATGCCAATTCAAGTAAATAAATAAATCATAAATTAATGGGCTTAAAGTGGGCGTTTACATAATGAATAATTTATCAAAAATGTTCTTCTGACACCTGCCGTTCTCCGGCCAATTCCCGACCAAATCTGTAGTTGTAGATCCTCTCACAAATGTACCATGTTTTAAGGTATTTATAGAAAAAAGAAAACAAAATAGACCAATGGAGGTAAAGCATCCAGATATTTCTACATTATTTACACTGGAGCGTCCGCAGCTGCCTCACACGTCAGTTAGCAGTTTCCCCTTTTTCACACAGTTCTGGCTGGGAGCCGTGCAGTTGGCAGTTCTAAGGTTAGCTTCCCTAAAATTGTCGATGCTGTTGTTCAAGTCCTCGTCTATCTCCATGTACTCCGACTTGCTGATGACCGAGGAGCTCCGGCGGCTGGAGTTGGTGTCCGATGCTAGGTTTTGGTTGCTGACGTTAAGCAGCAGGGCCTGTTCTTCCCCCTCCGTCTCTCGGTGGTAAAAGTAGTTGAAGTTAGACACGATGACAGGTACCGGCAGGGCGATGGTCAACACACCAGCGATGGCGCACAGCGAGCCCACAATCTTACCTCCAATGGTCACAGGGTACATGTCCCCGTAGCCGACAGTAGTCATTGACACCACAGCCCACCAGAACGCATCGGGGATACTGGTGAAGAAAGAGTCCTTCTCCTCTGCTTCGGCAAAGTAAACAGCACTGGAGAACAATATCACGCCAATGAAGAGGAAGAAAATGAGCAGGCCGAGCTCCCTCATGCTCGCCTTCAGAGTTTGTCCCAGAATCTGGAGGCCCTTTGAGTGTCGGGACAATTTAAAGATCCGGAACACTCGGACCAAACGGATTACCCTGAGAATAGCCAGAGAAGTAGCCTGCTCTCCGCCGCCCTTCCCCTCCTTGTTGTCTTGGTCATCAGCCAGCTCTGTACCGAGCGTGATGAAGTAGGGAATTATAGCCACGATGTCGATAGTGTTCATCATGTTTTTAAAGAATGCTGCTTTGCTGGGACAGGCAAAAAAACGAACTATTAACTCAAAGGAAAACCATATGATGCACAATGTCTCGACCACAAAGAAAGGGTCTGTGAGAACATTTGGCTTGTAATATATGGTTGTGTTCCCCACCACCTGGATGCGCTCGTTGATATCTTCTTTTAACTCCGGTAGAGTCTCCAGACAAAATATGACTATTGAAATGAGAATAACCATAACAGAGACTATGGCAATCCCCCGGGCAGGTCCGGAGCTCTCTGGGTGCTCGAAGAGGAGCCAGATCTGCCGCTGGAACTCCTTTTCCGGCAAGGGTCGCTCTTCTTCTCGGATGAACCCTTCGTCCTCCCGAAATTTTTCCATGGCTTCTGCTCCGAGTTCATAGAATTTAATCTCTTCTGAAAACATATCCAGAGGCACGTTTACCGGTCGCCTCAACCGTCCTCCAGACTGGTAGTAATACAAGATGGCGTCAAAACTTGGACGGTTTCGGTCGAAGAAATACTCGTTTCGTAGCGGGTCAAAGTACCTCATCCTTTTCTTGGGGTTCCCGAGGAGGGTTTCAGGGAACTGGGCCAGGGTTTTGAGCTGAGTCTCAAAGCGAAGCCCCGATATGTTGATGACCACTCTTTCACAGCAGTCGTGGTCGTCGTGGAGCTCATCGTCAGGCGGGTACGGGTCCTGGGGGTGGCCCGGAAGGGTGGAGGTCTCGTCCATGTTGTCTGTAGATACCACGGTCATTCTTCCTGCTGGGTTAAGAACAGGAAGAGGAAGTGGAGCAAGGAGAAGGGAGTTGGCCAGGGCAGAGCTTTTAGTAAGACCGGTAACTATGCAGAGCCTCCTTCTTCATCATCATCATCATCTCCTTGCTGAACATCTTCTGACTGTGCTTCATTTGTCACCTGAAATCAAATAGAGAATAACCAAATCTGGAGTTAAATAATGGAATTTCTTGTGTAGAAGCTTCCTGTTGGTCACAGGGATCAGCAGTGGAGAAGGAAAAAAAAAAATCATGCGGTGCAGTAGCCAGTGCTGCAACTGCTGTTTTTTTTTTCTTCTTTTACCGCATACATCAGCGTTCAAGTTTGCAGTTCCACTGCACTGCTTATGCTCACGCCAAGAGCGTCAGCTATTACTTGAACATGAATCCGATTGAAATTCTTCACATTTCGCATAATTAAATATGATGTCGAATCCAAAAATAGCAAATTAAAAAAAAGGGAGAAATGTACCTGCGCAGAGTTGGAGCAGATGTCCTCACTGTGTCCACCTCTCCAGCCCTGGCCACCTGCACCACAACTTGGCTTTAATACCGATATCTCTTTACAGTATCTCTGAAATATTAATAGACTATGTTGTCTTGGTCAACATCCGTATCCTCTTGGTGTAGGTTTTCAGCGACGACAAGGGCAACCCACAGCAGCAGCAGCAGCAGGAGCAGCAGCAGCAGCAGGAGGAGGAGGATGAAAAAGAAGAGGTGGAGAAGGAACGGCGGCTCAGCAGCAAAAACCCGCACTGACAGTTCCCACTGAAGAGCATGCTGAAGAAAAAAAGCAGCACAGATGGAGGGGAGTGATGGAGTGAAGGTGGCGGAGGGATGGTGGTGATGGAGAAAAGAGTGGGAGGACTGGACACTGCAGCATCAGCAGAATCAGTGCTGGCGCTTTTTTCCTCCCGCAGCGTTGCCCAGAAAAAGCAGCAGCAGAGAGGGTTTGGAGAGGACGCTGTCCATCCACAGACACGGCGGCAGCAGAGAGGAGTGTCTTCGGTCCTTTGGAAACATACTGCAGGGTTTCATGTAGAGTGGGAGAAGAAGTGAGTGAAGAGAGAAAGGGAGGGAGGGGTCAGTGGGAGAGAGGGAGTGAGGGGAGAGAGAAAGTGCAGAGGAGGGAGAGAGGGAGGAGGAGGGTTCGACGCAATGCAGACAGACTGTAAAACACGGTGGCTACAGTAGGAGGTTTGTTTGTGTGCTGGGCCATCCGTATTTGTTTTTATGTACAGTACATGCCCTATACACGAGTGAGTGCGTACACAGATTAGGGATGCAGTATTTTAAATATATATTGTATGCATCGGTGCTCAAGCCCTGCTTATTTTGCTCTAACCTTGAGAAAAGATCCACAAACCCTCTTGGAGGGGAAAAAAATAATATGTTTCTGAGAAGGAGCCACAGGAGAAGGACTAAAATATGCAACAGTGCACGGCAGCTACCTCGCTGACCAGTGGCCAGATGGGCTTTGACCGGGGAGGGGTTCTCCTTGGACCTTCAGTTAAGAGTGTGGGAATGAAACCATCATCAGATACTGGTTCATCTATGACGTTTGATTTCTTTGGTTCCCGACGTTTAGAACCGAACATCATTAATTTAGGAGTCAAGAAATCCAGCTCACTGGTACCTCACCAAATCAGAAAACAGCCATCCATGTGATCATGGTAGAAACTAACGAAGGTCACAGTATGGACTGGAAGAATATTAGAATTTTAAATGCCCCTCTTTTTACTAGCTCTATTTCTATATGAAATATAAACACTTCCATACGTGACCTTTCGATAGATCTCCTGGATGGAAACCAATTCCCTCAGACTTGTTCTTACCGGATGCAGCCGGTCCTGAAACTACGACAGAAAACAGTCAGGACGTTGCCGTCTTGTCCCTCAGTAGTTCTCTTCCTGGGTTTCGCCCTGGGTTCCTGCAGGAAACAAAAGTAAACTGTGCCTAGTTTGCGACAGTCAGGCATCCGTGTTGGCGCACGTAAATACAGCAGTGTTGCCATGGCAACAGGGAGAGAGCTGCAGGCTTCTTCTTCTTCTTCTTCTTTTTTCTCTCGTTGTGTCAAACATGTCAGGATGAGCTGGAGACAACAGGTCAAACAATAAGTTCAGAAAGAATCGTTTATGTCGGGGCTGTCGGGGTCATTTTGGTTCACGGCCCGCGTACAACCTAATTAAGTATCAAGTGGGTCGGATCAGCAGGATCATAAATGAATTACCTATAATTAACAATAAGTCAATATTTTCCCCTTTTGTCATTCAAACAAATAACAGTGTGTTAAATATTTATTATTTCCTTTTTGTCATTGTCAATAACAGTGTGTTAAATATTTATTATTATTATTATTTAATGAAAAATAATTATACGAAAAAATTCTGAAAACAAAGTGTTTTTGTGTGTATTTTTTAAATTTTCAAAATTCATCAGGCCGGCCAGATTGAACGCCCTAGCGGGCCGGTTATGGCCCACGGGCCGTATGTTTACCTCCCCTGATTTATATGGAGGCCCGATGCTGACAGAAAAAAAAAATAAACAGAATAATAATTTAAAACAAGTGCCATCAGTCAGCAAAGAACTGTCACACATGTCAAAAAAAACTTTATTCAAATCTTGTCAACCTGGTTTTGACTGAAGCTCAGTCCAAGTCTATGACGATTCCTTGGCTGTGAGGATCTTGACTTGAAATATTTTTTAAGTTAAAACTTATACTTGGTAGTGAGTGTGTTAACATGCATTCTTGAAACCCCCCTGTAGGAAAGAGAACCAGTGGGACTGGACTGTGACCTTGTGAGTTGGACCATGTTGTGGACAAAGGTTGACAGGACGGGACTATATTTGTGGTTACAGTGTTATTTTGTCACTGTAACTGTGGGACAGCTGGACGTGTCTCAGCCATGTCATCTGTGTGTCACAGCAAATTCCTGAAAACTAAATTTAGTCTGACGACATGCTGTTGGAGCAAAAAAACAAGCGGCAACTGAAAAAAACCCCATGTAGAACCACGTTGACCAAACGGTGTCTCCAGTGTTGATTGGTTCGTTTTCACATGCATGGACTTGAGAGGAGAGTCGTGGTGATTGATCTCCCTGTTACCGTACGTCATGGCCATATTGTGTTCGTAAAAAAAAAAAAACAGCGGGTGGTGTTTTATCTCGGTGCTTCGTGTGCATAGGGTAGAGACTTACGCTGAGCCTGAGCCCATATGTTATCGTGACCTCTGACCTCGGGGGGTTTAATAGGCAGGAAATATAATCCACTTAACTTTAGAGGAAGCTAATATCTCAGTGAGCAAACAGCTGGACGTAAAAGACAAAACCAGTGCACGGGCAATGTTATCTTTAGAAACAAGTAATACTTATATATATATAGTATATACATATATATATACATTTATGTATTTATATATATATATATGTATGTATGAATATATGTATATATATATATATTAATATGCATATATACATGTATATATGAATATACATATATATACATATATAATCTATTCATACATACATATATAAATATATATATAAATACATATACATACATATCTTAATATATATACATATATACATTTATGTGTATATGTATATATATATGTATTTATATATATATTTATATATGTATGTATGGATATATGTATATATGTATATGTTAATATACATATATACATGTATATGTATATATAAAATTGTGATTCCATGACTATGACCATATGACCACTGCTCCTCATACGCACAAACAAGGTTTTTCAAATAGTTTTAATCTCAAATGTGTCTTTGTGACGACTCACAATTTAGTTTATAAAAAAAAAAACGAAATAATAGAGAGAGTCTGGTTTATCCTGGTTCAGGACACGATAGCCTTTGCATTTGTTATACGTTCGACTGTTTCACCTGCTTTATTGCTTTTTTTGTGGACGTATTTAGAAGAGGTGAAATGTTTGATAAACAACGATTGCTGCAGGTGTTCAATGTTGACGTATCTCACAGTGTTGAACGTTTCTCCCCTGATGATGTGGTGATGGACTGTAATATTGCTGGATAAACACCAGCGCCCTCTAATACACAGTACACTGTGTATCTGACTTGTGAGCAAAGCAACATTCAGTACAGGGAACTGTTAAGGGGTGAAGCAGGAAGTGGCATGTCAACAGTGAGCGCCGTGACATTGTGTGAAGTTGTGATACGGTTTCGGTGATTGTCCAAAATTGCAGGACTGCGTGGAATTCACCGGGATTGGTCGAATTGTGAATTTGCGATATCTCAACAGCTGTCGATGATCCGTGCAGAGTTTGAGTGATGAAGAAAATCTGCTGCTGCTGCTGCTGCTAAAGCTAAATCCATTTTAGCATCAAATTACCATCTCTGTTCAGCAACCCTGAAACCAAAGACAGAAGACACAGCGGCACCTTAAATCCTTCTCAAAGAGAGTGGAAAGTCTGATGTGCACTTGAACTTTGGGGGGAACATCTCTTCAAAGCTCTCCTCCATCTGCTGCTCAGCCAATCAGCTGTTGCTGCTGGTGGCTCCTAAGCTGCTCAAGGCCTCAGCTTTCTTTACTAGGACATATGATTGGCAGCCAGGATTATTTCTTAATTTACACCGCAAATGCCAAGTGGTGTTGTTATGAATTCCACCTCGTTAGTCTGTCACTGTTGACTGGAACTGCTTACCAGTGCAGATCTGCAGCTGATGGTACAGCAGGGTCATCCCACCAATCAAGACAACTTTTGATTTTCATAAATCAAATACGCTTTCTCAGTCCAGGCCATGTGGAAAGTTGATGTTGTCATGTGATGATGATGTTTTTCGATTGTCCTAATATTACAGATGGAGCGTTTGTGCGCAAGATAATCAACATGTTAAGGCCATGCGTAAAATGCTAACATGCTTTTAGCCTTTTCTATGCCATCTATTGGGGAAATGCGGGCATTGCAGGGAGAAGGCAGAAGTAAATTGATAATATAAATTTGGACAAGTTTGGTGGACCAGATTAAAAAGCCAAACAGTTCACATCCGGGCCCTGGGCCTTAGTTTGGCCATGACTGTTTTAGACCAATTCATCACATTTACCATTTAATTCGTTCATGGTGATACGACACTGGGCGTAAGGTGACTGCAGACCCTGCTAATGTAAAACTCACTGTTTAATTCATTCATGGTGATACGACACTGGGTGTAAGGTGCAGACCCTGCTAATGTAAAACTCACTTTCATACCTGCTCTGTTCTTCTTCCATATAATCCTAAACAGTTCCTAACACAGTTTTGTTCCCATCGGCAGGTCATTTCATTTGCAGTTAGGGACCAGTCCGTGGTGGACTGCTTTAGTGCCGTCTGGTCCTCATGCAGCAGAGGGAAGAAAGCTGAGGATCAGGAAAGGGAGGGACGCTCCGGGTCATGTGATGTAGTCCGACCCTCCATCTCCCATTGGCCGCTCACTGTCCCGTCATCTCCTGCCTTGTGCTCGTGCCGGAATGAGGAGAAATGTTCTCATTAGGGCTCTCTCCTTTTCATGACGCTCTCATCTCTCTGTTTTTCCTTTCCATCTTCCCCCTCTCCTCCCCCCTTCCTCACTCCACAGTCATCATCTCACCCTACCTCCTTATCTGAGAGACCGAAAG